AAGAGTAATTTTCAATAGAATGTATGTCATAATTGCAGTGCTGATGACATTCATTGTCTTTAGTAGAATTTGTAGCATTTGCTGAAGTTCCCTTCTGTCTAAAGTTGTAGCCTCCAACTCATGATGCTACACAACTGTGCTGCAAAAAAACACAGGAATTATTTGCAGTTTTAATTTTTAATGAGACCTCCCTTCCTTGTTTTGTAATTTCAAATTTTTTACATTCCTTCCCCATGACCCCACAATAAAGCAAATAGGGGAAATCATTAAGAAATGCAACTAAGAATATCTTCAAGTTGCTAAGAAACAATGCACATCCAAAAATTGTCTTTGGGCCTAAGTTCTTTTGTCTGCAATTATTGTTTTAAAGAACATTATGACACCTGTTTTAATGCCAGTGTCAATGTAATTGATTGGAAAAAAACTATGTTGATCGCTTACAATGAAAACATGTTTCAGTTTGAAAGGCAGCATGCAGACGAAGTATACAAATTAAATACACCAAATTGAATATACAATATATGTTGAGTTAGTTAATCTTAATCAGCTGGCAGCATCCCTGGATTAGGAAAGTGTATATCAGATAGGTTCTCACTTCTGATTGCTATTCAATGAGCCTCCTGAATAGTCGACGTGTGGATGTGAGCAAGGAATAAGAATAGACTTGCTTATGGTGTGCTCCCATGACCAAATAGTCTACTTATTCTGATTGTGTAAACTCAGAGTATGAATTAATTGGGTAATAAGGGAATTGAATCTGCATCCAATGGGAGTCAATGCTTTTTACAGTGGAAGAAAGTAAATTGATTTTAAAAAAGTAATTAAAATGTTTTTAAAAATGCTTGTATATTTGAATGGGAATTATCATTATACAAAAGATCAATATATTTGCTCGGCAACACTTCCCAGGATCTCACCATTCAGTGTATAAGTCCTGCCCCGATTTGCCTTTCCAAAATGCAGCACCTCACATTTGTCTAAATTAAACTCCAACTGCCAATCCTCGGCCCATCGGCCTATCTGATCAAGGCCCCATTGTACTTTGAGGTAACCTTCTTAGCTTTCCACTACACCACCAATTTTGGTGTCACCTGCAAACTTGCTAACCATACCTCCTAAGTTCACATCCAAATTGTTTATATAAATGACAAAAAGCAGTGAACACAGCACTGATCCTTCTGTCTCACCGCTGGTCACAGGCCTCTGGTCTGAAAAGCAAACCTCCACCACCATCCTTTGTCTCCTACATTTGAGCCAGTTCTGTATCCAAGTGGCTAGTTCTCCCTGTATTCCGTGTGGATCCAACCTTCTACTATGTGAAACCTTGTCGACTACCTTATTGAACACATCAACAAAACTGTTCCTATTCGGGAATTTCACTGAGAAACTACAGTGTGAAAGTACAAAAAGGGAAATTGAGAAAAGGTTGCACTCTATAGAAGTGGAGGTTGGGGTGCAGAGTAGAAGAAACTTTATTATGCTTTAAAATATACTGCAGCTTGTCAATTTGAATGATGGAAAGTGGATCAGCTACTGCACTGAGCTGAACGACAAGTCCCGAGAGAAGGGGAACAGATTATAGTATTTTGAAAGGGTTTTGATAGGCAGGGTGTTGTATTGCTCCTCCTGGACCCACAAAAATTTTTTTTTAAGAAACAAGAAACTTGCAACTTCATTCACATCTTGCAGTGATCCCCTTAAGAACAACTGATTATGGCATTCAATGCCTGGTGCAACTGGGACTAGCATGCACGGTAAGCTCTTTCCAATTTTTGATTAAAAATATATATGGTGACCTACAATTGTTGGAGCTACGTAACTACGACAGGAGTGCTGCATGCTCATCTCAAGATCTACTTGGAGAGAGGCAACAGGATGCTGCAATGCACAGGGAACTGGGTCTCCTTGCACATGAATCACAAAAAAATCAGCATGCAGGTATGGCAAGTAATTAGGAAGGTAAACAAATGCTGGCATTTAATGCAAGGAGGCTGGTGTACAAATGCAGGGATGGCTTGATACAACTGCTGAAGTCATTGGTGGGGACACATCTAGAATACTGTGTACAGTTCTGGTCACCTTACTTAAGGGACACATTTGCATTGAAAGCTGTTTAGAGGTGGTTAAATTGACTAATTCCTAGGATGAGGGATTTGTTTTAAAAGAGAAAGTCCACCATGTTGTGTTAATTCCCATGGCAATTATGAGAATGAGAATAGATCTTATCAAAAAACATAAGATTCTGAGAGGGTTTAACAGGGTGGATTCTGGGAGAATGCTTCCTCTTCTGGTGGGAGCTAGAATGAGGATTTGATTTGATTTGATTTATTATTGTCACATGTACCTGGTTACAGTGAAAAGTTTTGTTTTGAGTGCAGTCTAATAACAGTGAGGAAGAAGTTGTTCCTGAATCTGTTGGTACGTGTTTAAGCTTTTGTATGTTCTGCCTGATGGAAGAGGTTGGAAGAGATTATAACCGGGGTGGGAGAGGTCTGTGATTACGTTAGAGATAGTAGGAACTGCAGATGCTGGAGAATCCGAGACAACAAGGTGCAGGGCTGGATGAACACAGCAGGCCAAGCAGCATCATAGGAGCAGAGAGGCTGACGTTTCGGGCCTAGACCCTTCTGGTACCTTTCCGAGGCAGTGAGAGGTATAGATGGAGTCAATAGATGGAAGGTTTGCTTGCATGACGGACTGGGCTGTGTTCACAACTCTCTGTAGTTTCTTGGAGTCCTAGGCGGAGAAGTTGCCATATACCAAGCCATGATTCATACGGATAGAATGCCTTCTATGATGCATCTATAAAAATTGATAAGAGTTTTTACAGACATGCTGAATTTCCTTAGCCGCCTGAGGAAGTTGAGGCGTTTTTGTGCTTTCTTGACCGTTGTATCAACATGGGTGGACAAGGTCAGATGTTGATGATCATCACTTCTCGGAACTTGATGCTCTTGACCATGTCCAAAACACAGTTTAAATATAAGAGGCATCCCATTTAAGACAGAGATGTGATTCTTTTCTCTCAGAGAATGGGGTTTTGTTTTTGGAATTTTTTTCTCTCAGTTAGCTGATAAAGCTGGCTAATTTAATATGTTCAAAATTGATTTAGACAGATTTTGGACAGACAAGGGAGTTAAAGGTTATGGGAGTCAGCCAAGTGAGTGGAGTTAAGGGCATATTAAATCAGCCATGATCTTATTGAGTAGTGAAGCAGGCTCGAAAGTCTGAATAACCTAGATCTGATGCTATTTCTCATGTTATTATTTAGCTGGTTGAATTCTAGTATGCTGTTCACAAATGGAAATTTCTAAGCATTTGTCATAATGATCTAAACTTTCTGGACTTGGCTAAGTCAGGCATATCTATTCAAGTAAGAGTGTGTACTCTAAATTGAGTAAACAGAGAGCAGTATCTTGTTGATTTTTCACTGACTTCTGATCCTGAAGCACTGTGATTGGGTTCTGCTTGTATTAGACACCCAGATGACTGAAAAGGAATTAAGGAGTAGGGCTTTGGTTGATCGTGGAGTGAGGATTTTACTGTGCTGGATGAATTTCACTAATTCACCTATACCTTCCTGCATTATTGCTTGATAACATATAGATTGGTACAGTCACTAGAATTCAGAAAATATATTCAAAGATGGCAAATTGCAGCAATTTAATCAAACTTTAATGACGTTACAGTCGAATTTCACTACACCTATACAACATGTGTACATTATACATTGACTGTGGCACCGTCATTTGTCTAGTATAATTCTGGGAAGTGATAAATGACAATACTCAGAGGTAGTAAGAAGGGTCTCGGCCCGAAACGTCAGTCTTCCTGCTTCTCTAATGCTGCTTGGCCTGCTGTGTTCATCCAGCTCTACACCTTGTTATCTTAATGACAATACTCAATTGGAGTTTGTCCCAACATTACGCCACTGTTGGATGAGAAGATTTACACTTATATAGCACCTTCACAATACCAGATGAGTTAAAGTGTTTTACAGCCAATGAAGTACCTATTCTTTTGAAGTGTAATCACTGTTGTAATCTGGGAAGCACCACAACTAGTTTTCACACAACAAATCCCACAAACAATAGTGATAATGGCCAGAATAATATATTTTGTGCCAAAAACAGAAATTGCTGGAGAAACTCAGCAGGTCTGGCAGCATCTGTAGGATGACAGGAGAATTAATATTTCAAGTCTGGTGATTCTTCATCAAATGTGATGTTGATTGAGACATAATATTGGCCAGGAATAAATTTCCTGCTTTTCATATAATGCAAAGGGATCTTTTACCACCACCTGAAAGGACAGGTGGGGGCTCATTCCAGCATCTCATCCAAAAGTCAGCACCTATCACAGCACAGCAAGCTTCAGCATTGCAGGGGCGTGTCGAGCTTTTGTGTTGAAATTCTGAAAAGTTGAACCCACATTTATCTGAGATAACAAGGTGTAGAGCTGGATGAACACAGCAAGCCAGGCAGCATCAGAGGAGCAGGAAAGCTGACGTTTTGGGTCTGGACCCTTCTTCAGAAAAAAACATTTATCTGACTTGGAACTTAGATTGCTATTAGATATCACTAAACCAAAAGTTTACCAAGACAGTTGGTACATGCAAGGTTATAATGTAAAAAGAACAAAAGTTTATAATGTTAAAAAACAAAAGAAATTGAGTTCTGTGTATTGCACTTCTTAAAATTATTTATTAACGTAAGTAAGGTTACACTAATACTTATTGTAGAATTGTTCAGCCATCTTACAACGAAAAAAAAACCTCCCGCTCACGTTATACTAGATCAAACTGACGATCTGTAAACCACAGAACGTGTTTTGTAGAAGAAGCTGCCAGCGACCAATCCTGGTAATAAATGGTTTCGAGTGAACTTTGGAAAAAAAAAATCTCTCCCTTCCGCGTGGCAGTTTGAAAAACCATTGGTTTGTGAAACCAATTGTTGCATGTTTGTAGCCTGCTGTTGAAATCGGTGGGCAGTGTGCTGGTTCCTGGAAGAGCCCTGGGGGAGTCAGACGCATTCTTGGCTGAGATTCAATGCCTGACCTAGACGCCGACAAACAGAGGGGAGAAGACAGTCTGAGCTGCAAGGTCGTATTGTGTGGATGTGCCGCGTCTTTACGCTTGTAGATCGTAAAAGAGGATTGAAAAGAAGAAAAAAGAAACAAAGTACAGAGTCTAAAACCAATTGGGGACTGGATTTCGAAGGACTGGTTTAACCAGCATTTGCTTGAAGATCTTTTTAAGGGCACGATTGTGGATATGTTTGAACGTAAGAGTGCTGCAGAAACACAACACGCTTAGAGACTGGATTTCATGAGCTACTTTAATATTGTACGCGGTGGTGGGATAAACTTGGACGCCGTGGCTTTTTAAAGGATTCAGTTGATTTTATACAAAACGGGTGTGCTTTTTGGGGCCAAAAATCATGGAGACTGTACCAAGATCTAGTTTTCAGCCTCATCCAGGACTCCAACAAACCTTAAAGCAGTTTCATCTCAGCAGTATGAGTTCGCTTGGAGGACCCGCAGCTTTCTCTGCTCGATGGGCTCACGAGATGATGTACAAAAAGGAAACTGGGAAGGAAACAGATCAGATTATTCACCTACCCATACAGCCCCCTCCTGTCATGCCAGGACCCCTTTTCATCCCATCGGACCGATCAACGGAGAGATGTGAGACTATTCTGGAGGGGGAAACCATTTCTTGTTTCGTGGTTGGTGGGGAGAAGAGGCTTTGCTTGCCTCAAATTCTGAACTCCGTCCTTAGAGATTTTTCCCTTCAACAGATCAATTCGGTATGCGATGAATTGCATATTTACTGCTCTCGATGCACGGCAGACCAGCTGGAGATTTTGAAAGTCATGGGGATCTTGCCCTTCTCTGCCCCATCTTGTGGCTTGATTACTAAGACAGACGCAGAGAGGCTTTGCAATGCCTTACTGTATGGAGGAACTTACCCTCCCCATTGCAAAAAAGAATACTCAAGCACCATTGAGTTAGAGATCACAGAGAAAAGCTTCAAAGTATACCATGAGTGTTTTGGAAAGTGCAAGGGACTCTTTGTGCCTGAATTGTACGGTAATCCTCATGCTGCATGTATCCAATGCATGGACTGTAGGCTGATGTATCCTCCTCACAAATTCGTAGTACACTCGCACAAATCATTGGAAAACAGAACCTGCCATTGGGGTTTCGATTCGGCCAACTGGAGAGCCTATGTCCTTTTGAGTCAGGATTACACGGCAAAAGAGGAGAAGGCACGGTTGGAACAATTGCTGGATGAAATGAAAGAAAGATTTGACTACAGCAACAAATACAAAAGAAAAGCACCGAGGGTGAGCGTTTTTAGAACTTAAGACGCGTAGTTTTATTATAGATTATAAGTTAACTGTTTACGGTACAGAGCTTTAAATACATTAAGTTTAATATTTTAACTCGTTTTTCAATGTCAATAATAGGCGCTACAAACATTACTCAGAACTGAACGCAAAAAAAACTCAATCCTTTAATAAAGTTAAATCATTAATTTTCGGTTTCATAGCTATCGATACTGTATACGCCGGTGTAATGGTACTATAAACAGTTTCTGGAAGTTTGTTTCTCTTTAAATTTGTGGAAATTACGTATTTGAACCTCTTTCTCAATGTACTTTCCCTTCACTTGGCGGAGAGGTTTTAAAATCATGAATGATATCATTAAATACTTGAAGGTGTATGTATTTTAATCGTTTCCCATTATAAATAATGACGTGCTAAGTTGAAGCATTAAGTTGACTACGGGCTGTTCAATGTGATAGTTTCAGACAAGGGTGTGTGCTTCGTTGCTCACTAATATGTGGGAGTGGTTTTGTGAGATGTGCATTTGTATGGAGAGAGCTGACTCTGTTAACAACTGCCAAGGCATGGCCTGTGTAGGGCAGTGTTTTATCCAAACCACATCAATTTAGCAGATCTTCAGGAGATTTAATGCCGAAAGGCAAACTGGGGAAGCTGTTTAATCCGTTCTATACTCAAACTAGATTTCAACATGATCATGGCTGTACTTAGGTTTGCTAACGTTTCAATTGGAAACATAGATGCGATTTAAGAATAAAAACTGATTCTGTCTAGACAATTTATTCCAAATTATCTATGCTACCACTAAGTTGCGCTTCAAAAGCCGCGAAAGACCGCAAACTTTCCTACCTCAAAGTGCGTTATTTACCTATCAATTCGGATTTCATTCCATAGTTCATACAAAAATGAAACAAGTTTGTATTTTTATATTTTTCTCCTCTAACAGCACCCATCCCACCCCATTTCATTCCGATTTCCAAAGAGAAGATAGCAGACAGTGCATTGATTGTTCTTTATGCGTGGGTAAAGGTTACGGCCGTGAACCTTGGGCTACCTCTTGACTGAATTGAAAAGGAAACGCTCAACTGTTCATTTGCATCAATTGTTGCGAATTTAAAAAAGCCGATGAGGCATACTCGGCACATTGACGATTTTGCTGTTTGACTTTCATTGTACCAATTCAATCCCTCGCGCCTTTGGATTTTTTTGTTCTTGTTGTAATACTGTACATATTACCTGGGCAATTAGAGAGAGTTTAGAAAGCAGAAGAAAAGTGACCTGTGCCAAGGAATATTGGATTGCATTGCTTAAGTCTTTGTAGGAGATATGCTTCCGAAAGAACACAGTTTAGTTAAAAAAAAGTTGCTGCAGTGTTTTTGGTTATAAAAATTAATTTTTGTGTAAAAAATTGATTTAAAGAAGATCTGATTGAAGGGTTGAGAGCTAAGCTTATCCATCACGAAGGATCGTTTTATATGCATCTGCAAAATCGAACATGATTAAGTAATGCAAGAAGATAGACATTTAAGGGAAAATAAAGTACCATTAGTGCTATATGAGCAAAACCATGTTTCCTACAAGTTTTAAAGGAGCAATTCCAGAAGCTGTTCTGTTGGAGATCAATCCATGAAGATTCTGGATTCTTAATATGACTTGGATATCCATCTGAGTTTTGCTAAAGCGATTCCTTTGATAGTTTGGAAGCCCATGACCAACACGTTTCACCGTGCAAGCGGGAAGGCCCCTCCAAAAAGTATAGATCGCGTGCAGTAAAGACAGGAAGTTGTGGTTAATGAGACTTGTGTGGATATTGTGAAAGGACGGAGAACTTAATGCGTAGGAGTGATGAGAAATCTGGAATGTCAGACTTTTGTCAAGAATAGACTTGAATTCTGCCTGAGTTCACACGCACCTGTTGATGTAACTCTAGATTGACCAGGATAAGTGCCTACAGAAATTAGTTTCCTTCCATAAACGTAAAGGTTTATGGCGGGTATGTGCAAAATAATATTCAGTCTTGACACACCAAATTATATGTTTTTGTGTCTGTCTTAACTTAAATATACATCTATTCAACCTCTCCTTTCACAACCAATAATTTTAGTTGGGTGTGGGAAAGGAAAAAGTCCGAAAAGGCTTTAGCGTCACATGTGCAATGATTAATTTCTGAATACAGTGGCTTAAATACGTCTGTACCATTCATGTTATGTTTATTTACACATTTTACAATATACAGATTGGAATATTTACAGGGGAGTACATCCCCATTTCATTCAGATGTTACGGTTGCACAAAGGACACTGCATGTCTAATTCATTCTCCTACCAATACCAAAAGTCAGGTGAGCCTTTCGAATTGCAAGAGCAAGCAGTGAGATGTTTTCAAAAAGTCAGGTGATCTGGGGCCTCTGACGTTGCAAATCCCGCCATGTGTTCGCCACGTGACTGGAATGGCGCATGGTCAGTGCGAGAGCTGATTCGGCCCTGCCCATTTACCACCACCTTCACACTTTATCAATTTAGGACGAAAACATCTCTGTTGAATACACGGTGAGTGATCCAAAGTGAGGCGCTTTGGAGCCTGTGGGTATCGTTTAATGCCATCGTCATTTTACCCTTTTTTTGCAATCAGATGTTCTTACCTTTTTTTCTTTTTCAACGGAGTCAGTTACCTGTTGACAAGTTGAGAGACAAATCGTCGAGATTGTCGGAAGATACCTCCTCTTAATACCCTCGCACCAAAAGGAAAATCATCGACAAATTCCGTGCAGTGGGAAACGAACAGACGATCGTAAACTCGCCTTCAGCCGCTGGGGCGAGTGGCAGGGTGGGGCTGTCTGTTTTGGCCGTGTACTGGGCGTTCGTGGCACGCCGACTGTTATGTGCACTTAGAGCACGCGGGGCCTCGAGCTCAGTCCGGTAGTTCAAACGGCACGCGCTGCTTTGGAATATTTCCCGCCAATTCTCCTGGACGTGAGAAAAAGTGTTTCTCCTGCAAACTTTCAGGAGTCCTTTTTTATGAGTTCATAATAATTAATAATCAGGCACCCATTAAAAGAAACGTAATTTTCCGTACTCTTATTTTAAAATTGCTCTGATTATTAGAGAACGCTATATTAGAATAAATATGCATGGTGTGTAACCTTGCTTACACAAGCTTGTGGATTTGTAATACGGACATAGATTAGTAAAAGTAGAACAAAAGGTAGGTGTGTTCTGATTATCATCGTCCAGGAAGTCACTGAAAGTTATTTTGCTATCTCTTGGTAGCTTATACACCAAGCAGAAGGATATTGTCATATATCTAGATATAAATCCATTCACAGTGAGTTTGAAGCTTGAATGAAGAGTAAACATTTTGATGATTTGGCTAGTTATATGCCAAATTTTCAGTTCCGATTTTAAAGTTGAATGATCCAACTGTAACATTTTGAAATAACGTTTAGTGGACCTGTTAATCGTTTGCCTTTGATTAGTTCATAAGGTAGGTTTGTATTGGATAGTTCAAATGTTTTAAATTGGATTGTGTGTTGAAATAAAAATGTCTCAAGATTTGCAGTGTTATGGGTGATAAAATTTTTTTTTAGCAGGTCGTCAATGTTTTATTGAAAGTTATGTCACAGTGTGTGCAATTTCAACTTTTCTTAAGCTTTATACAATCAAGAGTACTTTGAAAACAAATTGAAAGCTTCATAACAAGATGCATTAATGTTTAGTTAATACTAAATGTATGTGCCCTTTTCAGTGCATTTTTAAGGTATTCTGAAGTATAATACTTGCTCTATCTTGGTTGAAGATTTTTGTGTTTACATTGAGTTTAAAGAAAAATTTATTTCTTGTGTGTGTTCCTCGGAACATATACTGTACAGATGTATTTGTAAAGAATTTGTAATTGTTGTGAAGCTTCAATGATATGTAAATGAAGTCAATTATATGTAGGGTTTTAATTAGCAGCTAGGTTCATGTGTGAAGTACATCAGATTAATTATGTGGCACATCTGCTGATAATTTACTACTTTTCTGCAGACCCATCAAAACTGTGAAATTTGTATCCTTAGGTAGTTTGACAAGAAACAGAAGAATTTGCCAACAAATAAATCATGTTATGCTCCTGTCTGTGTTATGTTTGAAACTGTTTTGACTTTTTAACAGGTTAAATGAATTGCTTCATTAAATCGTATGTTCTTAATTTTAGTAGTAATTTCTTGTGCTGTTTGTTTGGGACATGTACTGAAATACAGTAATTTCAATCTTCTCAAAAAATGAATGCCCTTTAGTATTTTTAGTATCATGAATACAGCTAACAGTTTTTTGTCCCTAAAATAAATCTGACATTTTTAAATCATGAATTTGTTTTTTCAGATTTTTCATATATTGATTAAGCCTGTCTACATGATGGGGTGATAAGAATATTTTTAATTGTCTCTGGAAGTTTGCAGTCAGTGAGAGGCATACGTGAGGATTAGTAGTCATCAAGCACACAGGAGTCATATTGATCCAAAGGGACTAAATTTTAAACCAAAATACATGCTGAAATTTCTTTTAAAGGAGAACATAGATGGTTTAATATGGATTCTCAAAATTAGAGGAAAAAACATGTTTTTCTTTGGCCATCAAAATAAATCTATTCTCCATCATCCTTTATGGCAACTTGTGACTGGAAGTACTGTATATTCCTATTTAGTAACATTTGTAATAAAATGCCTTTTGGAAATCAATGTCAATATGTGAACTTTATTTAATCTCTTGAAGAGGGCTGTCATTTGATAGCCCAATGTGGTAGCCCCAAGGGAATTTGGAGATTTATAGTGGACAGTATACATTAGATTATTAACTTCCCTGAAGTCTTTTGGAATCGCACTGTTGTATTCTATCCCCAAGAACCCGAGATCTAATCTTTTTAAAAAATAAATTCATCAACTGATGGTGACTCTGTGTGAGTTTTACTTGTGATCAGAGGTACAACCTACGAACAAATTCAAGTTTAGTTAAGATCCTTAT